CTTGTGGTAGGATTGGGTTAAGGGGGGGTAGGGAAGAGCTTACCCTTCCAGACATTATAGTACATTATAAAGCAAGTATATCTTAGCCATGTCTATAGTGCCAGAATATACAGTCAAAGCAGTGAAACAGAATAGATAGTCCAGAAAGTAGTTAAAATGTATGTTAGAATTCCATTTGTAATAAAGCTAGTATTTCAAATCAGTAGGTTAAAACTGGGACTATTCAAAAAAGTGTATGGGCTACCAGGGAGCCTGGCTGGCTCAGTTGGGGAAGCACGTGACTCCAGATCTTGGGGTTGTGGGTTTGAGCCCCATCTTACGTGTAGAACTTATTCAAAAAAGGAAGAAAGGAAGGAAGCAAGCAAGCAAGCAAGCAAGCAAGGAAGAAAGAGGCACCTGGCTGGCTCAGTTGGTGGAGCATGGGGTTGTAGGTTTGAGCCCCATGTTGGGGATAGAGATTACTTAAAAAAAAAAAAAGAAAAAGAAAAGAAAAAGAAAGGGCTACCTATTTGGAAAGAATAAACTTATATGCCTATGTTATACCTAACACCAAAATAAATTCCAGATAAGTTAAAAGTTTTTAATGTAAAAAATACTCCATAACAGGCCTAAAAATATGTAAGTGAATACTCACTAAAAAGTGGGGTAGAAAACACTCTTTTGAACATGATACTAAAGGTATAAAGTAAAAAAGGAAAGAAAAAGACTAATAGATTGCTTAAGAAATGTATGGGAAGATACACTATAAAAGACTGGTGGAGATACTTGCAAAACACTACAATGTATTACTGATATATAAGGAATGCTTCAAAAACACCAAGGAATGTTTAGAAAATACTTAGAAATGACCTCAGTACAAAATGTGCCAATGCCATCAACAAACATCCACAAAAGAAATGCAAATGGCCACCAGACACTTAAAAATATTCATCACACTAATAAAAAATGTCTTTTGGGGATGCTTTCAACTGCAAACAACAGAAGATCCTATCCAAACTGGCTTAAATAATAAGAGAATAGTATCTCTCATAACTGGAAGTTCAGAGGTTGGACAAGTTCTAGATATGGTTTCATCTTTGGTTCTACAGTGTCACCACTGTCTCTCCATCCTACACTTCACAGCATCACCTTCATCCCAAGGCTGGTTCCCTTTGCCAGTTACAAAATGGCTGCAGCAGTTCCAGGTATCACAACTAACATGGTAACATCCAGAGGGAGAAAAGGACCATTTCTTTCTTATGTCTCTTTTTAGCAATAGGGAAATTTTTTCACAAGCTCCTCAACATGTTTACTCTCAGATTTCACTGGCCAGAACTGGAGGTCACAAACTATCCCTACCTCAGTCTCTGGTAAGAGAATGGGTTCCTATGATTACCTTAGAGGTTCTCAGAGTGTGTTCCAGGGATCCCTAGGGGCCCAAAACACTTTAAGGGAGTCTGCAAAAGGTCAGATTTATTTTCATAATTAAATGTCAAAATATTATTTGTCTTTTTTTTATAGTGGTGGCAGTTGCACTGAGGGTGCACAGGCAATGCTGGAGAGAACTGCAGGCATCTTCGTCTGAATCAAGGCAGTTGTACCATACTGTACTGCAGGTGGCTATTTTTGTCACCAACCATGAAAAGACAAGAGGGGGGAAAAAAAGGCCAGTTTTACTTAAGCATATCCTTGACGAAGCAATAAAAATTGTTTTCATGGAACACCATTTTTACTTTGGCATTTTCTCAAAAACAAAGTAAGCCTGTCAGGAAAACAACTGACACCATTTGTTGCCCTTAATAAAATTCAAGCTTTTAAGCAAAAAATTAGAATTCTAGAAAACTTGTGCCTACCCCGGTAAGCTTAACAGCTTTCTGACACTTGAACACTGTTCCGATGAGAATAAGGTATTTTTGATATGGCATAATAAAATGTGTCAACATTTGGAAGACCTGCACAGTGAACCAGTATTTTCCAGATGACACACATGATACCACAAAATCATGCTTGGGTAAAAGATCTATTCAAAGTGCAAGACAGCCAATGGATTTTAATGTAACAGAGTATGAAAAGTTCACTGACATGGTTTCAAAGATTATATTGCAATTAACCTTTAAGAAACTAGCACCTATTGGAATTTGGTATAGTATCAAAGAATATTCTCATTCATCCTAAGAGACTCTTAAAGTACTCCTCCTCTTTCTAACTACTAATGTTTCTTTTTTTTTAATTTTATTTTTTAAAGTTCTTATTTATTTGAGAGGAAGTGAGAGTGAAAGGGCATGAGCGGGGGGAGTGGGAGAGGGAGAAGCAGACTCCCCGCTGAGCAGGGAGCGCGATGAGGGATTCGATCCCAGGACTCTGGGATCATGACCTGAGCCGAAGGCAGACACTTAACTGACTGAGGCAGACGCTTAACCAATTAAGCCAGCCAGGCGCCCCTAACTACTTACATTTCTGTGTGAGATCAAATTATCTTCATATATATAAACCAGAACAACATATCATAACAGACCCAATGCAGAAGCAAACGTAAGAATCCAGTGAAAGAGGCAGGAGGATTAAGAGGTGCAAACTTCCAGTCATAAAATAAGTCACAGAGACAAAAAGTACAGCATAAGAAATATAGTCAATAATATAATAACATTGCATGGTGACACACGGTGACTACACTTACCACAGTGAGCACTGAGTAATGTGTAAAATTGTTAAGTCAATATGTTGTACATCTGAAACTAATATAACATTGTATGTTAAATATACTTAAAAAAAGAAAAAGAATCTAGTCATCTTTTCTTAGGCCAAATATTAAGGCGATTTGCAAAAATGTAAAACTATGCCACTCTTCTCATTTATTTTCTTTCTTTTGGAAAATATTTTTAATAAAAATGGTATTCATGATAATATGCAATGGATTTGTTATTGTTATTTTTAAATGACTTAATATTTACATTTTTTCTTAGGTTTAATTTCAAATACCATAAATATTGATAACTATAATCCATATAAACAAAAGCTCTTGGTATAATTTTTCAGTGTCAAGGGGTCCAGAGACCAAAAAGTTGGAAAACCACTGCCTTAGATTAATTTTCTGGGGTGACATGGAGAATGGAAAGTCCACGGATTCTTTTAAAAAAAGAGTATGATGGCTTACTTAAGTATCTGACTTATTTTGGCAAAGTGAAATCTGACCAGTGATGTGCAAAAACAAGCATCCTCACACATTGTCAGGGGAGACTGCACTGAGAGACCTTTCCTGAGGAAAGGCAATACCTATGAAAATTCTTTTTTTTTAAGAAGGTAAGGGGGCAGGGGGAGAGAGAAAATCTTAAGCAGGCTCCACGCCCAGCACAGAGCCCCATGTGGGGCTCAATCTCACAACCCTGAGTTCATGACCTGAGCCAAAATCAAGAATCGGACACTTAACCAACTAAGCCACCCTGGTGCCCCATTATCTATGCAAATTCTTAAAGAACAAATTTGGTGGAAAATTCAATTTCTAGAAATATATCCTAAGAATATAATCAGAAGGATATAAGGATATGTTACAGCATTGTTGTACATTATCCTGAAAAACTGTAAACCATCTATTCATCTTTAGAAAACTGACTAAAAAAACTAAATTACTGTGTTATCCATAATATATATATATACACATCTCTGAGAGAAAAACACATCTAATGAAAACAAAGGGAATTTAAATTAAGGATGGACTTAGGTTTATAATAATGTAGTAGTCCTGTCTTATTATTTATAACAAATTACCATGATAATGTAAGATTTTATTATGGGGGCGCCTGGGTGGCTCAGTTGGTTGAGCAACTGCCTTAGGCTCAGGTCATGATCCTGGAGTCCCTGGATCGAGTCCCGCATCGGGCTCCCTGCTCAGCAGGGAGTCTGCTTCTCCCTCTGACCCTCCCCCCTCTCATGTGTTCTCTCTGTCTCAAATAAATAAATAAAATCTTTAAAAAAAAAAAAGATTTTATTATGTTAGAAACTATGTTAGAGGGGTGCCTAGTCATGATCTCAGGGTGGTGAGATCGAGCCCCACAGTGGGCTGCAGGGCCCGATCCTATATATTTAAATATATATATAGTAATTATATATATTAAAATGTTGCTTAAAAACCTAAATTTATTGGGGCACCTGGGTGGCTCAGTGGTTAAGCATCTGCCTTCAGCTCAGGTCATGTTCCCAGAATCCTGGGATCGAGCCCCGCATCGGGCTCCCAGCTCAGTGGGAAACCTGCTTCTCCCTCTCCCACTTCTCTTGCTTGTGTTCCCTCTCTCGCTGTGTCTCTCTCTGTCAAATAAATAAAATCTTAAAAACCAAACCTAAACTTATTGATATGGAAAGATGTCAATTATTTATTAGGTGGGGAAAAATCAGGTAGAGGATAGTACTTATATAAGATCTCATTTTTAAATAAATATATGTAACAGCAAATATACATATGCATAGAAAAAGTCTGGAAGAATTTAGTTTTCTCTGAAAGACTCAAGGAGATCCTTCTATTTTTTTCTTAATACGTCTCAAAATATTTTTCTTTTTCTTTGTAAGTAAACTCAAATAACGTTTATACTCAGGAAACAAAAATTTTTTATAATCACTAAGTATATAAACTCTACACAATCTATGGGTGGAGGATTCATGCTTGAAAGGAAGGAAAAAAAAGATGGTATGGGCAGTAGTGATAGCAACACTCGAAAAGTGTCAGTTTTTTTTCTAGAGATCATTCATTTACCTGGAGGAAAAGATGCCATGGAATCTGTGAGAACCTGGTAAGGGGACCCAGACAGGGTGCTGTGGCCAGTTGGATCCAGGACCCAAATACCCTAGGGCCAAAGAAGTTCAGAGAAAGACTAGTTTTAAAAAACTCCAATTTGTTAGACCACGTAAGGCCTGCAGATGCTCAGGTGGGGGCAAGGAACCCCGAAAGGGAAAGCAGTTATTGGAAAAGGCAAAGAGTAGCAGGACATAGAAAACAAATAACTCATGCTAGAATACCAAATTCCAGTTACCTAGAAACTTCCTGTTCACCAGCTATGGCGGGTAAGTACCACATTGTTATCTGACATTACGGCTGCTCTCTCTTTCCATTTGGTAACTGTTTTTGGTGTGCCACAACCTTTTCATTTATAGTACTTGTTAATCATCAGGCAGCAAACGCAGATGACACCAGTCAGGTCTGCCCAGCCTAGTCTTTGAGGCCAGCTCCTGGGAAAGCTCGTGCACCCTCTGCTGGTCAGCTTCACTCCAGGACAAGACGGTCTGTGTCCTAAGGAGACAACAAATCACATGGACACAGTTTTGTGTTCTCTATACAGCTAATTTCAGTGAAGAGTTTGGAAACTATTTCCTCAAACTGCCACCTGAAGGAAACAATTCCAGATAAAAACAATGCCTTCCTTTGTTACACCAAAGAAAAACATCATAAAAACTAAAGTGCTGTGAGAAAATATACCATCAAAGGCATGTTAAATTCAAGTGATTTCATCTTAGTACATAATTAAATAAGTAAAGGTCTCCAACACCTAATCTGATTAAAAAGCTTCATTAGAGTCTTACTCTGGTCGAAAGATAATAATATTTGTATAGGTTTTATAGTTTACAAAAAGCTCTCATGTTTATTTTCACACCTAATCCTTACAACAGTCCTATAAGTAAGGGAGGAAGGCAGGACAAGAATTTTTGTTAACACCATTTTACCGATGTGGGACATGAGGTTTAAGGGGTTACATGAGTTGCCTTGTCACACAGCTACAAGACCCCATATTCCAAGCAGGCTTCCTGACTCCAAATTCTTTGTTCTACTCAGTACACTATTACACCCGAGCTGCTGATATATAAGGAGTTTCTTATTAGAGCTGGTATGTATTTCAGGCAGAGAAGTAAAAGGCCTAAAACATACGTTTTTATAATACATTCCATTTTGTTTCAAATGTCACAAAAATTTTAGATGCTGACCCCTAAATCTGAGGGATTTGTACCGTAGGCAGTACTTTGTCCTAAAAGAACATCCATTTAATAAGGAGAGTAGACATTTTAATAAGAAATCTACTGAAAACCAAATAAAGTTAACTTCAGAATTTCTGTATGTGGCATGTCTATGCCTATAAAAAGTAGATCCCGCCAGGCTTTGTAGCTTCTGCAATCACTATAGTATTTGCTATATGCCAGGAATTACTTTAAGTGCTTTACATATGAAAACTCATTTGGTCCTCCCAAGGACCCATTTAACAGATAAGTAAATAAGGCACAGAGAAGTTAAAGTAATTCTAGTTACTTAGCATACCTAGGCTGGCACAGCTAGTATATTGTAAGGCTGAGATCTGAAGCCAGGCAGGCTGGTAACTCAGTTCCTCATAATCACTAAAGCCACGCTGCCTCTATACAGTGGTGTCTACCATATTCCTATTGCCTTTTTAAAGCAAACTCTTACTTTTAGAACAGTTTTAGATTTACAGAAAAGTTGCAGATGGTATAGAGATCTCCTGTATTCTACCATAGTTTCGTTTTTCTTTCTTTCTTTTTTCCTCTTTTTTTCTCTTTTTCTTTTTCTTTCTTTCTTTCTTTCTTTCTCTTTCTTTCTTTCCTTCTTTCGAGAGAGAGAAAGCATGCGTGCACAATTGGGGGTAGGGGAGAGGGAGAGAGAATCTTAAGCAGGCTCCACACCCAGCGTGCAGCCCATTGCGGGGCTCGATCTCACCACCCCTGAGATCATGACCAGGCACCCCTCTAACATACTTTCTACCATATTATTAAAATCTTAAATTATCAGCATAGTAATTTGTTACAATAAGGCAACACTACTACATTATTATAAACCTAAGTCCATACTTTATTCAAATTCCCTTTGTTTTCATCCGATGTGTTTTTTTCTCATACAATTCCATCCAGGGCACCACATTATATTTAGTGATTAGGTCTCCTTAGGCTCCTCTTCGGCTCTAATAGTTTCTCAGAGTTTCTTTGTTTTTTGAAGACCTTGACAATTTTGAGGAGTACTGGTCAGGTATCTTGTAGAATGCCCTCAATAAATATTTTTGAGATATTTTTCTTATGATTAGATTGGGGTTTGGATTTTAGGGAAAAAAAACCCCACAGAAGTAAAGTGCCATTCTTATCACATCATATCAAGGGTATTCATCATATGAACATGACTTATCATGGGTTGATGTTAATCTTGATCACCTGGCTGAGGTGGTGATTGACAAGTTTCTCCACTGTTAAGTTATTCCTGCCCCTCTTTCCACAGCGTATTCTTTAGAAGGAAGTCACTACATGCAGCCCACACTTAGGGAGTAGGGAGCTATGCTCCACCTCTTTAAGGGCAGAGTATATACATAAATGATTTGGAATTCTTTTGTGTGAGAGATTTGTCTCTTCTCCCCCACTTATTCAATCATTTGTTTCTAGCAGTATGGACTCAAATTTATTTTAAACTGTGGATTATAACCCAGTATTACTTTATTTATTGCTCAAACTCTTCCTGTTTTGGCCATGAAGAGCTCCTTCTATAGTTTCTTTCTATAGTTAGTTCCTGTATACTTTTGACATACTCCCATCATTGTGTTTTTGTTTTTGAGCACTTCCTTACTTTCTGGTACTACAAGATATTGCAGGCTCATGTTGCATATTCCTTGATCCAGTCCTAGAATCAGCTATTTCTCTAAAGAGTGTTTGTTCCTTTTATTGGGGAATAGACTGGGTACTGGGTGCGCTCCTTGCTACTAGACTATTTATAGGCACTCTCAACTGATAAAAGAAGGAGATATATGTGGGTATGCTAAACCTTGTATAAACACATGTCTTTATAATGTTTCTATATGTATCCATCTCTATCTATAGCAAGCTAGAGTTCATACTTTATCAACTAGAGTACAGTACTTGTGTACAGTTTTAGTCTTATTTTCAAAGTTACTTAGGTCAACACATTTTCCTTGGCCCCTTTCAGTGAGGTTACTGCATAGATTTGTAATATAGTTAGATTTTTTTTTTATCAGTCTGCCTTCCATCCTGAACCCGATTTCCCCTTATTTATTTTTAAAATTTTGCCTATGTCAAGATTTACTTTGTGCTGCAGAGTTCTATGGATTTTAACAAATGCAGTGTCATATATCCACCATTCCAAAACCATGAAATAGTTTGACCACCCTAAAAAAAATACTCTGTGCTACCAAATCAACCCTCTTCCTTCCCTAAACTCCCTGTTTCAGTTACATTTCCCTAACAGAGAATGTACTCAACATCCTTGCTTCTCATCCTTTCCCCTGACAATATGTTCACATTTATAAACTCATGTAATTCTCACTTCAATCCCGAGTATTTCCTCTTAGCGGATGGTTGAATGAAACTCAGAGAGAATAAGTAGCCTGGTTAAGATCTCACTAAGTGGTGGGGCTGGCACTATAACTTGTGCCTTTTGACTCTTGGTATGATGCTTTTTCTACTACACAACACTGCTTCCTTGTTTCCAGCTGGAAGGGGGATGGTTATGCAGACAGAGAAGAAGAGAAGACAGAAATGGTGGTACTGATCATATCTTACATTAATGGAAGCTTTTACACTAAAAATATTGATGTGGAATTCTAGTTCTGGTACTTGGTGAACCGATATCCCAAAAACCTTTCTGTTATAAAATACTCCCAAAGGCAGAATAAATACATTTTAAAAAAATCTTTTTTTTTAAGATTTTATTTATTTGTCAGAGAGAGAGAGAGCACAAGCAGGGGGAGCGGAAGGCAAAGGGAGAAGCAGACTCCCTGCTGAGCAAGGAGCCCCACGGGGCTTGATCCCAGGACCCTGGGATCACGACCAGAGCTGAAGGCAGACGCTTAACCGACTGAGCCACCCAGGTGTCCCTAAAAAAAATATATCTTGTTAAAATACATCACTAAGCCAAACAGAAAGAAAAATCCTTGGAGACCAAAAGCTAGCAAAGGTCCAGAAAGTTGAGTGAGAACTGAAGTGAACAGCTGCCCAAATCCCACAATGTATAAAAAATGTATCACAAAAACTTATCGAAAGAAACTCAACCTCGTTTTAACATTAGAAAATATATTTAGGCAATTCACCATATTATCAGATTAAAGGAAAAAAATTATATTATTATCTCAGCAGATACGGAGAAAGTAGTTGATTAAATTCAACACCCATTCATGATTAACAATCAAATATACAGGACTTTTAGGACATATGGAATGGAAGAGAATTTCATTAATCTGATAAAGGGTAGTTACCAAAAACTTACAATGTTATCCTAATGGCGAAATATTAGAAGTATTCTGTTTATAAACATGAATAAAACAAGAATGTCCATTATCACTGGTTTTATTCAGCAATGCATTAGAGGTTCTGGCCAGCACAGTAAGAAAAGTGTAATAAATGGTAATATTTGAGAAGGAAGCAATAAAACTGTCACAGTTTCCTGAGGACATGATTATCTACATAGAAAAATCCCCCAAACCTTATGAATGACTTTTTTTTTTTTTAATACAAATGACAATTATTACTACTAAAGATAAAGTCTGGCAAGGTTGCTAAATAAAAGACCAATATACAAAAAGAAAATTTGCATTTTTATGTACTAGCAAAAATATAGTTAGAAAATCTAATTTAAAAATTTACCATTTATAACACTGACCAAAAATATAATGTATTTAGGAAGTTTGAAATATGCAAATCCTTTAAGAAAAAAATTAAAGAACTTCATTGAAAGACACTACAGATCTAAATAAATGGAGAAACATATGGTCTTCACAAGTAGGATAATTTGATATGGTAAAGATATTAGTTCTCTTCAAGTTGATATACAGATTGAATGCTATACCAATCAAAATTCCAATAAGGTTTTTTTGTGGAACTGAAGCTGATTTAAAAAGGTATATGAAAATGCAAATGGCAAAAAAAAAGATACTCCTGAGAAAAAGGAATAAGGTAGAAGAGTGGCCCTACCAGCTCTCAAGCCTTACTACAAAAGTGGTCCGGTATTAGCCTAGGAATAGAAATAGAACAATAGAACAGAAAACAGGGCCTAGAAACAGACCCAACTATGAATGTAAACTTGATATACAATAGAGTTAGCACTGTGGATCTGTGAATAAATGAGGGCCCTTCAAAAAATGGTTTTGGGACAAGTGGTTATTCATGTAGAAAAAAAATTAGGGGTAATAAATGGGTGTTTGTTTAAGCTGCTAAGTTTGTGGTAATTTGTTACACAGCAATAGAAAAGAAATACACTCTTTAACATGTATACCAGGAGACAGGTTTAAGGAT